TAGTACGCTGAAGTATGTCGATAACACATGATTCCTCCCGTACCAGATTTCACATCGTATTGCACTGCCTTTTCTCCTAGTTGCCATTTTAGCAGGCCTGGGTTCAATGACATATAAGCACCGAGAAGGAAGGGGACAGTGCAGTATTTCACAATATCTGTTCTTGGTATATGCATTTTCTAGTATGTTCAGCCATGCGAAAATGCTTTATCGTTTATGTGGTAGTATATAAAGAGTAGCAGCTCCTGAAGCATCGTTCGTAATGAACGTGACTAGCAAACACTGATGCGATATGCATTTGGCACAGCAGTTGCTAAAATACCGTGGAACCGTAGCATGTTTAAATGCTCTCTTAGGTAACTAGGGGTGCGGATGCGTTGCAGTTTACCGTGAAATTTTATCCCGGAGGAGTTGTGCGTTATATGTATTGCTGTCTTAAGTATGCCATGGTTTCTTATTCGATGAGGTTATGTTTCATAATGTTTTCACCCCGCACTGTTTTGTTAATCTTCTACCCATATTCTGAACAGACAGCAGCTATGGAAGGAGTAAGTCTGATTACTGCGTAGAAATTTTGTTAAATATGCTTAATTAGATAAAATGTAGATTTAGACGTGAATGCATATTGTTACATATTTTATATGCTGATCTGACAGTTGTTGTTACTATGCCATTACGCTGTTTGTTTAGACCACATCGTTAGAAGAACTTGAGAAAGCCCTGCGACAGAAAGCGCTACTGTCTATGAAGAAAACACATTGATATGGTTAGGGTTTCGGAATGATTTCTGATTCACTTTGTTTCCATAATGTATATTGGTTATTTTGCAGTAAACTTGCATCTTCCGGCAAACGCATCTGATGTTTCAGATTTTGCTGTTTCGGCAGCGTCGTTCTTTTCACTATCCTACGTTATGATGATTTAGGAGCGTCACTTTCTAAGGGTTCGAATGATCAGATGATCACCAAGGTCGCTTCTACTATTGCAGCCAGGTTGATTTTCTGCGTTCATCATGTTCGTAGGTCAACGTTTGCTACCATACCGAAAAAATTGTAAGTCGGCAATTTGTAGGGCGACTTTCTACTTGTAACTGTTTGCCAGCTGATGGAGTTTTTAAGTCATGCATAAAATATTCCCTGTAAATCTATTGTATAGAGACCAGGCACTGATCACTTGTCAGTATGAAGGAATGCAGAATGTACTCTCCACAGACATGGTTTCCAAAGTTTGGTTTTTTCAGGCTTCCCGGCAACTTTTCATGGCTACTTTGCCGACTAAGGAGGATGCACTCGATCGAATTTCGTGTTGCCATGCAGTTCATTACTGCAGTTGTTTACTGGTCTCCACTGTATTAATGCGATGTTTTAATTCATGTTCGCTGTTTATTGTAATGATCATGTTGGGCAGTTTGCATTAGCACGACATATCTGAGTTTTGATATACACAGTCTTCTGAACTGTTTTGCCCTAAGACTTGGAAGACCACGTTACAGAATGAAGTTTCTTTCTGCCCTAAATTTGCCTCTGTCTTATCGGTGCTGCGACTTGCTTTTCTGCTGTCGATGTCTGCTGTGCTTTGGTTCCCAGTTAAAAGCTTGCGGGCTGAAATGAAAGTTTTCGCTGAACCACTTGGTCAGAAAGGACCAATCTGACTTAATGGTTGGTGACGTAACTTGTGGTTATACCTAAGGTATATACTCGCAAGAGAATAGTTATTCTTACATGGTCCTGCCATTTAATCCTCATTATGCCTCAAACCTGTTGTATTTGTGCCGCTGTTAAGCCGTCGTTCTTAGACGATGATCTCTGTGCTGCACTGCAATAATAACCTGACTGCAGCAAGACAGGCGGATTCTTTCGTAAAGATAAATTTGAGCATGCTTCCAAATGCAGTGAATGCAACTAAATTACCCTACTTAACGATAAATTTGTTGGAATTATCCTTAGAGGTCGTGAAACCAGGCTACTGTACTATGCCGTTTCATCTCCCTATTGTATTTGCAGATCTGTTTTACCAAATTGTTTCCTCAACTTTTGAGTTATGAGTATTAAGTAAGAGATCGCTTGTTTAGCTATGTTGCGTATAGGTGCTCAGGTCAGAAGACCCGCTACTCGTGTTGCTTACCATTCTATTATGGTCTGTGTACTCTAAGTTAGCAAGAGTTTTAGCCGGATATGTTGAGCTGCGTCTAGTTTCTAAAAGTTAAGCATTTGAAATCAGAACTTCGCTATGCAAGGGGTTCAAGGAGCGAATCCAACAAATAGTGCTGACTAGCAAAAGTGCCTCGTCTGACTTATGTCAGACTTTATAGTAATGGGGAACCAGGAAGATAAACCCTGTTGTATTCATTTCGGTTTTCATGGTACGCGGTCCATTAGTCCATTTCTTCTATCTTTTTCTAGCTTGACACGCTCTTTTCAAGTATCCCATTACATTTTAAAATTTGCAGCACTGTAGCACAGCGTACTGAATGAAATGCTGCTTTAAGTAACTCATCAGTCTGTGCGCATAGTCCACAAGAGACCGTTGCGTCAATCAGAAGAATATCCTCGGGCCACTGCATTGACGTTCCAGGGGTGTAATCTGCTGTAATCCTACTACAGTGCAGTTAATACTTTTTGGTTGGTTGTCATTTCATACTCTGTCTTCTTGGGACAAGAGAGACAGCGAGGTAGAGCACCCACTTTACTCCAGTGCAAACTGGTGGCTGCTTCTGAATCAGGGGTGGTTATGACCACCAGTCAGGACTTTATGATATTTCACCAGAGCCTCGTTTGCCGATTGTCTCGAGGTTCAAGACCGGCCTTCACGGTCACTGTAGCGGCTAAAGAGGAACAAGCCCCACCTGAGTAATCCCTTACTTTGATCATTGTCCGCCCCTGTGACAAGGTGGAGAGGATGATTATTAGAGAGCGCTTTACGTTAGATTAAACTAATTTAACGAGGCAACTGAAATCGACGATAACGCTTTACTATTGCCACGTGGCGACTCGACCGAATACATGCGGTAGTGATTTGCGCCATCCGCGATGATTCA